AGTTATGAAAACGTGATTCAAGCCACATGACTCGGGACCCGAAATGCGGATTGATCGACAAAGCGAAGGCATTTAATAATACTAATTCGGGTTTGGCTTGAGGCGATGCTCCATTGAAAACAACAGTAAGGCGTCGTTGGTATTCACACAGTGGGAACTAAAGTCATTGTCATATAAATGAGTATGAATTGCTTATCTTTAGCCATAGATCCCCCTGATACTCCAAATAGCTATATTATACTTATAACGTAGTAGCAAGCCCCAAAGTTTATGATGTATAAAAGCACCTTGATTTCATGCAACTAACGAGAGCAGATAGATAATAGGCAAATAAGAATCATAATTAAATCAAGACAATCTAACCTAGAGATCTTAGTGGCAGTAGGATCCTTGGTTCTCGGACAAATCTTTCACGCCCTCTTTCGAGTAGTCTTCATTTTTGATTGTTTCTCGACAGTGAAACATATTTTTTTAGTCGTAGTACCATTTTTCACTGTAATAGTGGTGACTGTAAGATTAAACCTCCTAAACTTCGAGACCTGAAGCTATAAATCTAAGGTAGAATTAGTTTTTTTTTTTTGAGGAATGAGAGGTGAACCTGCCTGTAAGTCATAATGATAGAGCCTGGTCTGGCGAGGAATAAGACCTGTGCAAAAAGGGATAAGAAGAAACACCGATGGATGAAGTAAAGTTAAGGATAAGGAAAAAATTCTTGCACCCAGTTGCTCCAACTAAGTGAAGGCAAAGGTGGTCTAATCGTGTTCCTGACCCAAGTCATTCCCTTCTTCCTCTTCTATGTTCCAAGTATTTCTATCTAGTATAATCCGCCAAAGGTCTTTTGTGATTTTACGCGTAGTACGCATAAAATAAGCGCAGAAGAATTGTGACGTTACCTAGCCGCAGTTATGAAAATGGGATTCAAGCCACATGACTCTGGACCCGAAATGTGGATTGATCGACAAAGCGAAGGCATTTAATAATACTAATTCAGGTTTGGCTTGAGGCGATGCTTCATTGAGAACAATAGTAAGGCGTCGCTGGTATTCACATGGTGGGAACTAAAGTCACTGTCATGTAAATGAGAATGAATTGCTTATCGTTAGCCATAGATTCCCCCAATACTCCAAATAGCTATATTATACTTATAACGTAGTAGCAAAGCCCCAATGTTCATGATGTATAAAAGCTCCTTGATTTTATATAACTAACAAGAGCAGATAGTTAATAGGCAAATAAAAATCATAATTAAATAAAGACAATTTAATGCAGGGATTCTAGTGCAGTAGGATCCTTGGTTATCGGACCAAATCTTCTACGCTCTCTTCCGAGTAGCCTTTATTTTTGGTTGTTTTCCGACAGTGAAACATATTTTTTTAGACATAGTGCCATTCTTCACTGTCACAACGTACATACGTACGTTGTGAAAGTGCAAATTACCCCACCCAAAATTACTGTGGTTTTTGACATAGTACGAATTTGAAAAATTCCAAGAATTCTGAAAATCCTGAGAATTCACAGAATAGTTAGTAATATTGGGATCATCGGGATTCTTAAAATAGATATTATTATGGTAATCATTATAATTACCTGAATTATAGTAATAACAGTCATCGGTAGAATAGCTAGTATCGTTAGATAGTTATTATCATTAGTATTCTTGTTATTATATTACATATGTAAAAAAGATATATATATCCTCAGACTCTTCCCTGAATAAAGATACTCAGTGAATTCGAAAATGTCTTTTCTGAATAAACAATACCCTTGAAGTACTAAACACTTCGAAATTAGAGTAGAAGCGTTTGTCTTTGACCCCGTTATACCCTCTTGTTGAGAATTGTTCGTCGTTATAGTAAATTCTTGTCCCTGTGACTTTCGTACATTGTTTCATCGTAATTAGTAAGAAAGAAACATTAGTAATATGCCCCTTATATATATCAATTGACCCTGATTAAGTTCGTGATCAACATCATAATCCTTGATTTGTGAACTTGTGATACCGTGACCCTGTATCACCTTTTCGATTGGTCTATTTCGATCATGGGACCAAGCTGCAGTACCTGCTAATGAAAGAATTCAAGTGTTAATAAACTAATAAGAACAACGATTAAATCACCAAACGGAAGTAAAAGGCGCTTATCTGTATTATACACTATCTCTATAAACCCCAAATAACCCTGGTTACTCAGACCAAGTCTT